AATTATACTCACCATTTTACAAAAAGGATAAAAATTGTTGAACTTTCCAAGTAAATCTTCATGTCTATCAATCAACTTTTATTTTACCGGACTTACCATCTTTACACTATTGACTTGTGTCACGAACCTACTGTGAATGAAATCTTGATGGCTTAGAATGTCCATCTTTTGTAAAGATATGAAGATATTTTGATGACCTCAATGAACTGTTCTCATCTTGTTCAAGTTTTAAAGACTACCACTTCAACGATGCATAGTAATTCTAATTAAACTTTATAATTTAGTATTGAACGAATATATGACTATCTGATCAATAAGAATAAAATTTCGTTTAGTATTCCGAAAATTAATAAACATTTATATTAACAAATTAATTACACTGAAAATCTAATTGATTTCACACATATCCATATACAGATGTAAAACGTTTACTATAATTTGAAAATTACATAGTTTCACTAATGAAGTGGTCATTTAGTAATTAAATGGAAAAAAGAAATATTGATCAGAGAATACTTCTATTCTCTGACACTTATTTAGTAATCACTAACGTTGATTTGTTGTTCATGTCCTAACAACACACATTTATTTCTATCAGGTTTTTACTCTTTTAAATTATTAAGTTTAATATTATTGTATCAATGAGTCAGCCTATTTATTTTTGTGAATTATTCATTAATTTAGTGCAGTTCTAAACATAAACGTGTTATTTGTTGTTGCTTTAATTTTAGCTGTCTTAATACTTAATATTTAGCGATTGTGAATTTATACAGAGTATTTAAATTATGACATTTAATTAGTGTACTTTCAAACACCAACTGGTCAACTGGCGTGATTTATGGAATCAACGAATAATTCTATAAAACCATGTCATAATTTTTATACTGGAACTTGACTGCGGCCACAGAATCATTTAGCTATTGAATGAAAACATGGAAACTTCGTCAAACGAAAGTGTATAATATTAGGGGTAAAATGAATCTAAATGAAGTTTTTAAACTATTTTCACTTCGATATGGCTAAGCTAAATTAATAATAACCATATCTGTAAGATATAATTAGAATGAGCTTGTTCAACATATCAGAATATTCACCATTCTGTACTTTTTTAAGTTGATAGTTTTGGCGACCAGTGATTGTCAGCTTCAACAGCATCTAAATTTTCCTATCGTAATAATTTTTACTTGTTCAGAAAGGTTTTTGACCAACTTGTTTGGCATGGAGTTGTGTTTTACGATTGCAATATTCGATTAAAAATTTCTCAGAAAGTGGAGATTTCTTCTAGAAGATAGATATGGCCAATTAACAAGTAATCGGGAACTGAATATAAATCCAATGCTTCCCTAACGTTAGATTTCAGTCGGCTAATATCAAATATAGTGTAACACAATGTCTTGTGACTTAATTTATTGATCAGGTATAAAGTATTTATCTTATTGTATTTCATTTAGAACTAAAAAAGTAGAAAGTGATAATGCATTGATATAAGAACGTGCTAAAAATCATAACTTATTAATAGTAGACATTAGTTTGTGAGAAATGCCTCTAAACAATTCACTTAAGCTACTTAAAAGTGACCCAAAACTGGTTGGCATATTTACACTCGTATTTTTAAAAAAATTTATTGTTAAACACCACGGATACTAAGATATGTAAAATTATCGACCATAAAATATGTCAGCATTTGCCTATGGTGGTAATATGATTTGAGTATACAAACAGGTTAATAGATATTCCTCATTAGCAGTTTTGTTTCAGTCAATAACCTATAGCGTGTTTAAGTATAATACTAGTAAAAAACTTTACCAATAACGAAATCCTGTATTCTTTATCAGCCTCAACTTTAAAATTCACAGTGTATCGCTCTTAGTACCCTCGACCAATATTTCAGAATTCGTGAATAATTTTCTGAAGAATATCTTATCAAATGTTAAGAAACCTAGAATACTTTCAAAACTTCTTAGAATACAAACAAATCAAAAGTTGGCAAAACTACATCGAATGAAATGTACAGATCTGAGGTATCATATTTGAGCAATGTGTATTTGTCAAATGTGGTAGTTTGTAATATCTTAAGTGTTCCAACCATTAACATTGCATATACTGTATTTCAAATCACATGCTTCAGTGTTTTCAAATGATGTTTCAAGTTATTATATTCATTTGAGTTGTATATCTCATAACCATTAAAGTAGTCTGTTAACGAGCTAAACATACACACAAAATTTGCAAACACGTCAGCATACGACACTTATATTTTAAAACTGAAGAAATGTACACTGTTCAATATTAAGTCGTTTACTTATCTGAAATAAGTACTTAGAAGTGAGCAAATTAATTGTTGCTTGCTTGTTAGTTTGAGTATTCTAGAACAATATTGATCATCTTTCTCTACAATAACAATCTTCAGTGTTTTAGTTTATGCTTTCAGTCTATATTAATTAAAATGTATAAAGCTCTGATATTAAACCTCGTTTCTAATCTACAAGTTTTCTAGGAAGCAAATCTACATTGTTTGAAAAAAAAGGCCACTGGTTACTTTTATCGATAAAGTCTCCCGTTTACAATCCAAATAAAAGTACAGTATAAACAAGATGTGCAATTTTCACTCAGAGAAACAAAACATTTTTTATTACTCGACTAATGTTTTGCCCGAAATAAACCTTATAAATAAAAAGTGAAAGTGAATTCTTTTGACAACTTTGAAAAACACCCATCAGATGCCGAAATAAATTGCATTAATTTCTTTTTTGCTTCTGTGGTTCAAGATTAATGAAATTTTGTTTAGATTGCCTTATCTAATAATCCAGAGTGTAGCAGCAATTGTTTCCCGCACTATACGAAGACATTTAAGCGTAAGACTACTAAACGTAACTGCTGAACTGTTCCAGGAGCAACTAGCCAAAAGAAAAATAGTCACTCTTTTTTCCTTGATAATCGAGAATAATTCAACGATTAGCAAGATTATATGTTTTTTTGACTGAAAGATATTTGCATTGTTTATGAAATTCACCTTACCTTTGTTAGGAACTCTGGTTGATGAATTAAGATAGTGAATTGCTAATTATGACATTAATCTGTCAATATACATGAAAGGACTTTAATACATATCAGTAGTTTGTACAGGAATTTTCCTGTTAGCCTGGTTGACATTGTAGCTCTTTTGTCAAGAATCTTTTTAACATAACCTATTTTTTCTCAAGTTTTAGGTTCTGAAGAAATAGAACAGTGAGCCAATTGAATTTCTTACCTGTTTTATTACTCAGATTCCTTACATTCTATTCACATTTCCAAATCAGTTTCATTTTTTCCTATACTGATCATGATTCAATGATTACATATTTATATCCCTGAATGAATTTTTCAACCAGTCTACGGTAACATCGATTATATTTTTAAATAATTCTACATCAACCAACAAACTTTCATTAAGCTTATCATGCGTCGCAAGATAAGCTATTTCACAGATAAGCTGGATATAATTTATCTTTATCACTCCTTATTTGATTCATAGGTCAGTGAATTTCTGAACTGGTAATAATTTTTTCATTTTCTTATAAACATTAAATGCAAGAAATCTGTTTTCACATTTGAGTCTATAGTTTCGTCCTTACTTATTCAATATCCTTTAAAAATTTTATTACAAATTCCTTTTACATAACTGCATAGTTTTAGTGAAACACGTGAAAATGAATGGGAAATTCCTTTGCATCTAACTAGTTCCTTTCACAATTACGTCATCTTATGTTTATAATGGTGAAACGCAGTCGTCTTAACAAATGTTTCTAGTTGCACACGCAGTAGTAGGGTGAGAACATTTAAAATTGAAAATGAAATAAAATTACTACACACTTTTGAATTGACCAATAGAAAAATAAACTTTGATGAAAAGATTGTTAATCACGTAAAAGTGGTAGACCTCCATAATAAAGGTTAATAACGTTAAAATATGAAGTTCACTATTTCACTGTTAGTCTAGTGTACTAAATAAACCTCAGTTCCTAGAAATATCAACGTTTTCAAAATATCCCTCTGAATAATTAATACTTGAAATTTCATTCTTTTCTATCTTATCTAACTTTGAATAGAATAATTCGTAAATTTGGGTGAATTTGCTTTAGAAAATATGCATTATGTGGATAGACATTTGATCAATAGCTCTGGAAAATTGAAAGCACTCTTTATGGATCTCGTTATGCATAAACGTACAGGGAGATATTACTGAATAATCATATACTTCTCATTACACATGATGTCAATAAAACTCAACAATCACCACAACCCTATGCTGATATTCATTGTTATTATTTTCATTATTATTGTCAGTATTATTCCTCGTCTCCTAAATTGATGACGGTTGTAAGTGACACTCAACACACTAGACACACAGTCAGTCTAATATTTGATCTGTTTTGTAATTACATTACTACTTCTTTCAATCCATGTTATCTGTATTTGCTCTGACGATCAACGTCACAACCTCTATTGACTTGTGAACACATCCGTTTTGACAGGACATATTGATCATAACTTTGTTAACAAGTTCATTTTGATAAAATTCCTAAACAAATACATTGTTGTTTCTAGAAGATTTACTCTACTTCGAAGTAGCAATAATTTTGGAAACATAACTCAGATTTATAACTGTGGAGTTTCAATGAGAATTTATCGACTCTGTTCAATACACGTGTTCAAAACGCAGTTAATGTTCAGAATGTCAAATATATTTTGTCATAAGTAAATGAAAATAATTATGTTGTGAGGTTTGGTTGTTCTAAAATCATAATTTCATAAGTATACTCGTTCATTCAGTTATCAAAATCTTAACCCATCTTTTTTTTTCATAGAATCATCGCCAATCTAATTGGTGTAGAAAACGTACCAATCAAATTATATCTCCGGATAAATTTGATTTGTTAGAATACATCTGTCAAACCTATTAATTGTATGTGATTGGTTGTAGGAAGTTTTGCAAAATGAAGTGTGAGTATAAATTATTCCATCTACAAAATCGTATTTTACCACGTGAAAACAATTACATTTTACCATGATTGACTTCTCAGGTTTAAACAGTGAAAAATAATCAGATCTATGATTTTCTTACGAAATTCTGTCTGACAGTTTATGAATATTGTCCATTTTGAGCATACTTCATGTATCCATCCCACAACAATAGTTGTAATTGTACGAATCCTATAAATAATGTCTCAACAATTCCATCCTCTTACAGGAATGGCTGCGGTACACAATCATCGCCAAAAGTTATACCTCGTAATCAACATAATGCAGCTTCCACACAAGTATATCAGCAAAATAATTGGGATTCAAATAAATCTGCTTCTACTCCGCTACCAACTTCCTATTTAGGGAGGTTATATAAATTGGGTTCCATCAAAAATAATGATGAAATGAGCATGCTGAATAGCATCAATACACAGGATTGTAACGACAGTCAAATCAGTAATAAAAATGAACTCAATTTTCAAACTCCGAAAACCAAGAAGTTCGATGAAGTCTACCTATCAGTTAATCGCAGAACACAACCGGGTATTTTGGCAGCAATTAAATTATTGTCACAAAATCTGAAGCCAAAAATAAATCCTAATAATGAAGTTATTGATGATTCTAATAGTAAAAGCATTACTACCAATATTGTTACTACTAATACCAATACTAAGGGAAATAATCAGAATAAAATTTTCACTAATGGCAAAAATGACAATTTATCCACTGTGCTCCCACACTCAAGCGGAGTTGAATACTCCTCTTGGAAGGATAAACGATACAGTTATACTCCTACCTTCACTAATCACAACTATGGTAATAATATTGGTAACAATTATAATAACATTTCAACATCAATACAAACTATAAACAATGAAGACACTGATAAATTAGCAAACAATCCGCCTGGGAAAATGATGAAGGTTGATTCGTCCACGTTGATGAAACCATCACTGCATAATAACAGTAATAATGAGATATATTTGGCAAACAGTAATTCACCTTGTACTACTAATTTCAGTGACAATAAAAATAATATGTATTCACCTTTATGTACACGAACGAGTAATTATGATACATTATTTAAACGTAGTTCCTCCACGTCTCCATATCGACCATTACTGAATTATCGTCCATCGTGGTTACTGTCATCTAATCATAAAATGTTATCTAATGAAACACTTTACAACAGTGTTGATTATCACAATGAATATGTAGCATCTAAACCAAAATATTTAGATTCGAAAATTTCGAATAATAATATAAGTAATAAATACCGTCCATCAGATAATGGAACAACAACTGGAACACAAACACCAATGACGGCAGTAATTTCGCAAAATTTACAGGGTTCACTAACGACATTATCGTCATCGGGTGGCATCGGAAGTAATAACGCGACTAGATATTTGAATAAAAATGACCATTTTTCACCTAGACTAATTAATGCTAAACCTTCATTCCATTCAAGACAGAATATTGATGATGTAAACATGGAACAAAATGATGAGGAACATCATAAATATGGTAGAACATATTATATTACACGTCGACCACAAATTATACAAACAAATTATCAAAAACATTTACCTCATGCAATAAATCATGAACGTAATCTTTCATTCAATAATATTTATGATGCTAGCACCTTGATCGATAACACTGATACTACTGATCATGATTTCGATTTTACGAACAAAACAATCAATAAGAAAATAAACAGAATGCCAGATGTTTTGAAGCCGAATTCATATCTATCAAATAGCACGTTAGCTTCATACAAAAGAAATTCATCGTCTTTAAATTCATTACCAAATGAAATCGGTTCTTCACCTTCGTTAATTCACTCTGAGTACGTCAATGATGATCACCGCATTGGCAGTAATAATAGTGATAACATTGTTGCTAACCGCAGTATCTTCGACAACTACTCACCGATTTATTATCCAAATAACCAGACTTTATATACTGCACGGCGTTATTTTCAAGCTGATCAAAGTCAACCATCCCCACAAACAAAATATTCTTATCACCAAGATAATCCAGAATCTTTTCGATCATTTAGTGTCAGTCCAGAAATAGGAAGTAGAATTTCAGAAAGTAAGCCGAAACAAATAACTTGTTATTCTTAAACTATTCTGTTTATGCCAACTGTACTATTTTAATTTAATTTAGTAAATCATTTATGGTAAATTTGAATATAAATATTGTCAAACTTCAAGATTACGTGTCACCCACCGTTACTCAATTATCACTATACGGTAAACTTTATAATCCAGTATTCTGAAATACATCCAATGACACCTGACCTCTGAAAAGTTACATTCACTGATAAAAGGTATCTGATCTTAAGTCATCACACAAAGTTTAAAGAAACAACATTTTTCTGGATTTCGCTTCTAACCTGTACGATATAGCTCACGATTCTAGTAAAATAATAACATAAAAGTACTCCAAAAGCCCTCCGAAAATGTTTACTCCGGACAAACTATACACGTTTCTGAAACGTTCTGTACTCACACATTTCACGAGTACGGCTCATCCTTATTGTACCTAGCAATTCAACTGTTTTTTTGGAGCTAGTTATATTCGAAGCATGAATTAGTAATTCATCTAAAGAATTTCCAAGAATCATTCTGCTTGGCTAATTAAAGAACATGTAATGTCCAGCAAAAGCCATATGCTTAATGTTTTATTCTATAAAGGGTATAAGGATGACACAAATGAAGTTTTCGAAGTGATCCAATGTATTTCACTAGATTTATCGCATTTGTTTACGTACACATCCTATACGTACATCTGCTTTCAGGAGAAATTTGCATTACTGCTTTCTCCATCTCGAATATTAACAAAACCAATATTAATGTAAGTTACAAATGACTTATTATTCCAACTTCTCTTTGATGGCTAAAATTTCTAAAAATTGTTTCGCCTTCTTACTTTTACATAACTCCAATGTTCTTCTCTTAATTCTTAAATAACTATTATTTACACCCAAATTTCCACCAAAAATTTCTAAATTTTCTTGTAAGATATTTTGTTATCTGCCAAACCCGTAACTATCCGTTTCAATTTATTTTTTGAATCTTAATTATTGTGTCCGCCTCATCTTTTAATTGCATTGTCAATCATTCGTTACTGTTTTTGTAATTAGGTACTATTATTTATTTACTGTAGAATCTAACATCAGTCGAGAAAGAAAACAGCTTCATTTCGTGAGTAACGATCTCTTGCTTATCTTAACACGTCTTAACGAAATCAACAGGACTTTATTTATATAGAGTTCAGTTTGCTCTATTATGCTGACTTTTAATGATTATGGTGTTACCATTAGTTCGTCGTGATGTGTTACGATAGATACAAACAGAAAACGTGAAATGTTTACAACATGTTCCTCTTATGATAAAGCCAACGTTTTCCTTTGTTATAATATGAATACTAGTATTATTACAATTTTCTAATTTGTTCATATTACACTTAGTTCGATTATGCTGATTCGTTAGTTTACTGAGCACGGATTTAGGCATTTTTATGAATTCGTTTTCTATTTATAAATAATGAATTTAAAAGTTGCTGTTGAATTTGCCTATGATTTAATTAACTGTAATTTGTTTCTTATAAATAATACAAAAATAATATTAATAATTTTCTGGATTTTAGCCTTCTAAAAAATGTGTCATTCTAGTTAGCAGACAAAAATATAAAACAGACTAGTGTGATAAACTATTTAAAGAATTTACAGAATTTTTATTACGACTCCAAGCAGTGACACTAATTTAAACATTGATATATTGTACAATATGGATTAAACATATTGAACAACATTTTATGGCTTTGCGTTTTAGCCTTTAAAGATTGCCATATTAAGATAACGAGAATACTTAAATCATATTGTCACACATTAAAAAGTAACCAAGTGAGATTAGTTCTAATTACTAGTTCTAAACATAATAAACACTTTCTAACAATCTTCGCCACTGATTTGCTAGTCAAAGTAAGATCATGAATGTGCAAACGGACATGAAAGTTAGTTGTCATGAAATAATTTTTAAACAAATATCTTAATGTGCATTTGTTATCAAACAAAAAGTGATATTTAAATAAATTTCAAGCTGGAGAAGATAATGGTGTTAAGTTATTTTAAGACTAGACATAAATAAAATAATAAAGATTGGTTCCATGAACAGTTTATTTTCCGGCGACTTCATTTTCAAAATTGTACAGTCGCAAATATATAGTTATATTTCAGGTTGATAATAATTACAATAATAGTGGTAATAGAATTCTATTAAGCATAGTAACAGTGAGGTAGAATCCTTTCCCGATTATAGTTTCCCTGTTTATCTTCATGATGAATATAGAAGACCTTAACAATGAAACTATTGTTAGTTTCCCTGATAAAAACAATGTTTTGATACTTTTGTTTATTCGGCCTCAACGTTATTAAGCTTAATAGAACTCTATTATCACTATTATCGTAATTATTATCAACCTGAAAAATAAGTATATATTTCCGATTGTACAACTTTGAAAATAAATTCGCCGAAAAGCGATCTCTTTGTTAAACTAATCTTTCTTATTTCATGCCGCATTGTTTACTTAAAAATACCATAGACACAAATAAACACTTTTTCTTTGAGCCTAACTTTAATTATAATTAATTCATGTAAAATATTTGTGCATCCTTATAAAATTTTTAATGTCACTTTATTAAACAACCGCCGGCATTTAGAAAATACCGAATAATTGTTTTATTTCAAGCTAAGATTTCATAGGATAATACTATTATATAGTAATTTTAATAATTGAAATCATGAGCCAATTGAAGCTAGACCACCATGGAAAACCTGGAAGCACTGGATAAGCGTCTCGTCCTATTGTGGGTCTCCTCAGCAGTGTGCATTCGCGATCCCGCCCAGCGAGGTTGAAACACAGGATCTACCTCTAGACCACTGAGGCAGCCGGTATCCAACGGTGCTAATGGCCAACTTTAACTAATCCACAAAATTCCGTATGAGTCCAACAATCGGACGAAACGGGGGTTCAGTGCTTTCAGGTTTTCCATGGTGGTCTAGCTTCAATTGACTCATGATTTCAATTATTAAAATTACTATAATATCCACAAAACCCCTGCTGATATTATACAATAATTTAGGTTAATCTCTCAACCAATGGGATTCCTGTTGGCAATGTTAATTTTTAGCCCGAGAGAAAACTCCCCATTAGTTGCACTTTGTCGGGGTACTCAATGCAGAATGCAGCGACAGTGTAAGTTGACAACAGTGTTTCTCACTTTTGATTACCTACAATTGTCTTTTACACCTATATTACTAGATGTGATGACATTAAAAATCGTTCAATATCTATTTTCGTGACGTTTTACTCTCTGAGCTAGTTTAGTGATTTAAACTAGACGATTGATTACCTAAAAGCACAGGCTTGTGATTCTATGATTACAAGATTTTAATAGCAAATAACTATATGATATTAATGTTAACATACGTGGTAATACAAAGAGTCAGTTTTCTTAGGGTTGCACAATTAGGGTATTTTAACTTTTATAAATAAAATGAAATGTAAGTACCTATCACTCCGAAATCCTAAAATGAGGAAGTATAACTGCTCAAACTATGTTTAATGTCAACAGCTGTGTGAAATCGTTTGTTTGGTTAAATAATCAAATGAGCATATTTTAATATAATAAATAGTCTACTTGATAAATGCATAATCTGATGAATTTTTTGTTAATAATATCTGTCTAAGCTATTTGAATTCATAACATGCAACATTATTAACTTCTATTATACAAAGTAAGCAAACAAATGTTAACTGTCAGCACAATCTTGTGCAGGCTATTATAAAATTTTCATTATACAACTTGTTGATCAAGCCTATGTGCCAATAAGAGTATTTTTATGGAGGATAACTTGGTAAGACAGTTCAGATATAATGCTATTGTGATGTAAATCGTAAAAAATTGAAACTCTACTGAATTATTTTGTTTAAAAAAAATCCGTATTTCAATAGTACTTTTATTATAACAATGTCAAGTACAAGTAATATTTTAAAGATGGAAGTTTTGTCGTGTCCGTATACATATTCACTTGACCTTTATGTATTTATAAATATTCAATAAAAGTACACATGTGTTGAATCAAGTGTACCTTGCACTTTAATTAAATGCATAAATAATTATTCTGATGTAAATGAATTAACTTATTAGTTTTGCAGAAATCATTATAAAATCATAAAAATAATTGGTATATGGTGTATTAACAAAAATTATTTTATGTGCATCCCTTGAGTATGAACTGTTGAGAACAATTATATTATGTCCCATTAATTAAAACTTTCCATTTAGTGTTTGTGGCTATAGAAATTTGTTTTCAAGAGATTTGGATAAAATCGATTAGTTTATTTAAAGTTCTCGTCAGTAACAAATATGATTTTCGGAGTTATTAATATGTAGATAAATAGTAGACAGATCCTTTTATTCTTGTTCATGACCTTCCAATTAAACGAAATTGGAATTGAGAATATTATACAACCATTTAAATACAAGAATGATATCAAACAAGGACTAAGTTATAGTTAGCGGAAGGTAAATCTTTTCAAATAGAAATAAATCGTTTCGATTAATGACGAACAGACGACGTACTGCGACTTGACTACATATTTGATCGGTATTAAGTTGTAGTTGTCACTCCTGATAAGTTTTTACCTTTTAATTTTTATTACATATCAGCGAAAAATTATCCATATATTAACATTTCCAATATGGCTATCAAGTGACCTTTCAGCAAATACTGTCCATTTAAATAAACACACAATTGGTAGGTCAATATTTGGGCTTTTGCTCAATCAACTACAGATATTGTTTTAGCTCCCCACTAACAATTAAGTAACATAACAAATTGTGAAAACCACTAAATTGACAACGTAAATCATGAGTTCGATAATCCTTAAACGTAATTTGATTCCATTGTGTTGTGGCATCGAACTCTCAAATCCTCATAATTATTCGAGTTTCGACTTTTTAAGGCAAAATTATTTCTTTATAATACTCTGCTACTCATAGCGTAAAATTGTAATCAAATAGT